GAATGGAACAATCTGGGCGGTCTCGTTTTTGGTAGTCTTGCCTGTGGTGATTTTTGCAAACGTGCAACGGGAAGGAGGCATCTGCAACATCATTTGGCCGGAGCCAGCCAACATCTGGGGAGCAGCATTTATAATCTACACCTGCACAGTTGGCTTTTTCTTTCCATTGCTGGTCATCTGCATGTGCTATCTCCTCATTGTGATCAAAATCCGCAGCTCGGGAAAGAAGGTTCATGCCACTTCGACCAAACGGCGCAAGTCGGAGCGAAAAGTCACGCGAATGGTGGTGATAGTGGTGGCTGTGTTCGTTTTCTGCTGGATGCCATTTTACGCCCTCAACATCATAAACCTGGTAGAATCGCTGCGGGATGAGCCCCAAGGTCTGCATCTTTTTGTGGTGGTATTGTCTTATGCTAACAGCTGCGCTAATCCTATCGTTTACGGCTTCCTTTCGGACAACTTCAAGCGGGGATTTCGAAAGGCTCTGTGCCGCTCATCTCGAAGGGTCGAGAACCACGAGCCCACCGAGCAACGGCATCAAGAGGAACGAAGAAGAGTGCTGATGCCCAGGGAAAGCCTTAGAAAAGCAGTGAGAGAGGAAGAGGAAGAGGAAGAGTACAGGGAGGAAGTGACGGAGATGACGGAAATCTGCAGGATTACTCAGAACGGAAACGGAAGCGGACAGCCTGAAAGTACCCGAGCGCTTTTCTTAGAGAGACCCTCGGGTACAGGGGTTTCTGAGACAAGTTCCCCTGACAGGAGAGGCACGGGTGGGGATGTTAAAGGACCAGGCTTTGGAACTGCTGCAACCCTACTGAACGGGGCTAAAAATGGGAATGTGAAAACACTGCCAGAGGAACCAGTGGAAAAGAACAACTCACTGGAGATCAGCTACTTGTAAACTTGTGATTTGCGTCAGCTGAAAAAACAGCATTATTGTACATGCCTCCCTGAGCTCTATTCAGTTTGTAATTACAGTACTGCCTCTCCTGAAGCCTATCAACTCGTCTTCATGTCTATTAAATTTTCTCCTAGTAATCAGACTTTGTAGTATGGAAGTGTACAATCTGGCAACACAATTTGAAAAGTCACAATTAATTTTGCCTTATTTATAGGACTTGGCAAATCAAAACAAGGGTCATCAGCAGCATTCCATGGTATCAATACCTATGGGACCAGCACCACAATATGTGAAGCATCTATGTGCCTTTTTCTAAATTTGCTTAGGAGATTTAATCAATGCAGTGAATCTATGGCTACGACTGGGCACCAGATCACTAAATACATTTACATGCACTTTTGCTCAATTCTAGCTGTGCATGTGAACATACTTAGTGAGACTTGTAGCGTACTACTAAGTGATCAAATTTGGAAAAGATTTTGTAAATATAAACAGGTCAATAATTATACATCAGCTTGTAGTTTTCTCTAAATGTATTTGTATGTGCTTTTTGCCTTACTTGTAAAAGTATTGTACACTAATTGAAATCTGTTGCAAACTGGTCTTCAAACTGTACATATGCATTGTTATATTATACAGTTTTGTGATGCCTATCAGTTGTGTTCTTATTTGTTGGCATTTTTTTTT